TGCTGCCAGGCCCCTAATCTGGCCAGGGCCCCTATACCGCTCGCTCATGCTGCTGCCAAGTCCAAGTAGTCTGTATGGGTCCTGTACGGCCTCCCATTGTGCTGTCTCCATCGCCACACTCTGCCATGTGCCACTTTCAGGTCTCCTCACACACAGCTGGTGCTGTTGAATTTTTTGACATTAGGGTGCTGGCAGATTACGGGCCTCCCTAGCTTGCTGACAGGCCCCCTAATCTGCATGGGCCCCTATACCGCCTCCTATGCTGCTGCCAAGTCCAGAGTCTCTAATGGGTCCTGTACGGCTCCCCATTGCTGCTGTGTCTCGCATCGTCACACCTCTGCCATGTGCCAATTCAGGTCTCTTCACACTGCTGGGGTGTTTTCAATTTTTTGACATAGGGTGCTGGCAGATTACGGGCCTCCCATAGCTGCTGCCAGGCCCCATTATCTGCCATGGGCCCCTATATACCGCCTCCTCATGCTGCTGCCAAGTCCAGAGTCTCTCATGGGTCCCTGTACGGCCTCCCATTGCTGCTGTGTCTCCTCACACACTGCTGTGTGTGTTACAAATTTTTTTTGACATAGGGTGCTGGCAGATTACGGGCCTCACATTAGCTGCTGCCAGGCCCCTATCTGCCATGGGCCCCTATTATACCGCTCCTCATGCTGCTGCCATAGTCCAGAGTCTAAACTCATGGGTCCTGTACGGCCTCCCATTGCTGCTGTCAATCCATCGCCCACACTCTGTGCCATGTGCCACATTCAGGTCTCTTCACACACTGCTTGTGTTTTCAATTTTTTGACATAGGGTGCTGGCAGATTACGGGCCTCCCATAGCTGCTGCCAGGCCCCTAATCTGCCATGGGCCCCTATATACCGCCTCCTCATGCTGCTGCCAAGTCCAGAGTCTCTCATGGGTCCTGTACGGCCTCCCATTGCTGCTGTCTCCATCGCCACACTCTGCCATGTGCCACATTCAGGTCTCTTCACACTGCTTGTGTGTTTCAATTTTTGACATAGGGTGCTGGCAGATTACGGGCTCCCATAGCTGCTGCCAGGCCCCTAATCTGCCATGGGCCCCTATATACCGCCTCCTCATGCTGCTGCCAAGTCCAGAGTCTCTCATGGGTCCCCTGTACGGCCTCCCATTGCTGCTGTCTCCATCGCCACACTCTGCCATGTGCCACTTTCAGGTCTCCTCACACACTGCTGTTGTGTTGAATTTTTTGACATAGGGTGCTGGCAGATTACGGGCCTCCCATAGCTGCTGCCAGGCCCCTAATCTGCCATGGGCCCCTATATACCGCCTCCTCATGCTGCTGCCAAGTCCAGAGTCTCTCATGGGTCCCTGTACGGCCTCCCATTGCTGCTGTCTCCATCGCCACACTCTGCCATGTGCCACATTCAGGTCTCTTCACACTGCTTGTGTTTCAATTTTTTGACATAGGGTGCTGGCAGATTACGGGCCTCCCATAGCTGCTGCCAGGCCCCTAATCTGCCATGGCCCCTATATACCCCGCCTCCTCATGCTGCTGCCAAGTCCAGAGTCTCTCATGGGTCCCTGTACGGCCTCCCATTGCTGCTGTCTCCATCGCCACACTCTGCCATGTGCCACATTCAGGTCTCTTCACACTGCTTGTGGTTTGTGTTCAATTTTTTGACATAGGGTGCTGGCAGATTACGGGCCTCCCATAGCTGCTGCCAGGCCCCTAATCTGCCATGGGCCCCTATATACCGCCTCCTCATGCTGCTGCCAAGTCCAGAGTCTCTCATGGGTCCCTGTACGGCCTCCCATTGCTGCTGTCTCCATCGCCACACTCTGCCATGTGCCACTTTCAGGTCTCCTCACACACTGCTGTTGTGTTGAATTTTTTGACATAGGGTGCTGGCAGATTACGGGCCTCCCATAGCTACTGCCAGGCCCCTAATCTGCCATGGGCCCCTATATACCGCCTCCTCATGCTGCTGCCAAGTCCAGAGTCTCTCATGGGTCCCTGTACGGCCTCCCATTGCTGCTGTTTCCATCGCCACACTCTGCCATGTGCCACATTCAGGTCTCTTCACACTGCTGGGTGTGTTGAATTTTTTGACATAGGGTGCTGGCAGATTACGGGCCTCCCATAGCTGCTGCCAGGCCCCTAATCTGCCATGGGCCCCTATATACCGCCTCCTCATGCTGCTGCCAAGTCCAGAGTCTCTCATGGGTCCCTGTACGGCCTCCCATTGCTGCTGCCAGGAGGCAGCAGGGTCACAGCAGTGTCAGTGGAGGCAAACGGCCACGGAGTAGAGCACCAGCTCCACTGCAGCCTACCACCACGGCCAGTAGTGGTGCCGGTGTGCACGGAGGAAGTAGCAGTCAGCCAGTGAGGAGTAGAGGAGGCAAAGTTTCCTACTCTGCGGTGTGGCAATTTTTCGTCAAGCCGCCCGAGGAAGTAAACGTAGCCATATGTCGACTATGTGGCCAGAAAGTCAAGCGTGGCCAGGGGGCCCATGTTGGGACTACAGCGTTGCGTCAGCATATGCAGCGTCGCCATTCGGTGGCCTGGGAAAACCGTGATAAAGATACGGCGGTTCTGCCTGCCCCAGCCCAGGGTTCCATTTTGTCATAGGGTGCTGGCAGATTACAGGCCTCCCATAGGTGCTGCCAGGCCCCAAATCTGCCATGGACCCCCGTACCGCCTGGTCACGCTGCTGCTGGGCCCACAGTGTGACCTGGGTCCCTGTACCGCCTCCCATTGCTCCCACTCTGCCATGTGCCACTTTCAGGTCTCCTCACACTCCTGTGGTTTCCATTTTGTCATAGGTTGCTGTATGGCCTCCCATTGCTGCTGCCTCCACCGCCCACACTGTGGCTCCAAACATGGTTTTGGCCCCGTGACTGGCCAATGAGTGAAGTGTGCGGTGATTCTAAGATCGACGGCACTCATCTGCATGTCATACTGAGTGACAGTATTATTTCTCTTCCCCAGCAGACTCCCAAGGGCATTTAAATTAAATGGTACAGTGTTCTGCACTAATATTAAGTCTCTCTGAAGCCTAGAAACACCCTTTTTTAAGTTAAATTCACAGCGAATTTATTCGACTCGAATCGAATATTGTCACGAATTCGCCGAATCAGTCGAATCGAATTTTTCATTTCTTCGCTCATCTCTAATTATAAGCTTCCCAGGTAAAGTACTCAATGCAAATTAATGGACTTTAGGCCCATGCAAGAGGCAAGCTTAGTGACTTGTAGGTGACTGTCACAGCTGAAATGCAGGGGCTTTAGACATTCTTTCCAAATGTATGTGGGTCTGCCCTGGTGATATAATGGTCTCTTTTACAAGAATTAATGCACTCAGATATGAGTGCACACATTTGAGTGACCACCAATATGGGACAAACAATTATACCAGAAAGTTCAATAAACGGATACCTTAAATGAGTGAAAATCAGTGAAATACTTAAATGTAAGAATATCATCAACCTGTTTAGTAGTTTTCATTAAATGGATAGCCAGATCATCCACAGTGAGTAATGATCATCTCAATAAATTCCATTTGGAAAGAGAAAGCACTCCTCTGCATTATTGAGGGAATCCTATAACTCTCACAAGTTGATTACAGTCTTCATAAAACAGACAGCATTAAAATTTATATAATGAAATAGGTGTCATGAATTAGGAAATGTATATTATATAGGGCGCGCTTGTTGGAGCCCAACCTCTGTAGCTGTAAGATAAAGGTGCGAGATGGATATCAGGGATGGATGGATGGAAGCAGTAACACTGAGGCAGTTCTTCTTATACTGGAAGCAAGGCTCTAATGCAGTAACAAGAAAAAGAGAGGAAGGTGCCTCTAAGTGCAGTATTAACAATTTATTAGTAGACAATGGAAAATTTGGAAAATTTGGATAAACGGTTAAAAAGACTCATCGTGTGGTAATTGGATCCAGGTGGGACAGCAAGCTATGCCTTTAGGATCAGGAGCAGAGTCCAGGATGTGCCTGTGCATCAAAAATGAAGCTTGGAGAGCAGAGGTCAGATGTAGCAGGTGAAAGGGGCTGGTAAATGCATTTCGGAGCATGCTCAATAGGCTCCTTCTTCAGACCAGAGGTTTTATCTTGTAAGTGCAAATTTTCCATTGTCTACTTATAAATTGTTAATACTGCACTTAGAGGCACCTTCCTCTCTTTTTCTTGTCATGAATTAGAAAGCCCACTCCCACTAGGGACAGAGTGGCTGAATAGGACTTCATAAAACAGGTGGGTGGATAGTGGTTGAAAGCCACAGGGTCGACATGGCAGCAGAGAGAGCCCTGTAAAGGGCAGAGGTGCAAAATATAGAATACCGCTTGGTCTAAAACCAGAGCTCCTAGAGGTGCAGATATTGCACTGCAGGCAGTATCCAGGTTGCGGTCCTCCAACTGACCCGAAAAGGTGAGACTCTTTTGCAGTGCTGGGGGGTACTGGGTACACAACACAACAGTTAACACAGGCATGAGTAGCAGGAGTGTATGAGAACGCACAGAGGCACAGAGCAGAAATACAGGCTGGGAATGTACAACTACTGATACTGAGGTAGCTTCTCTTCAGTAGAAAGCTTTGGTGGCTCTGGCTCGGAATCAGTGCTAGCAATAGGAACCAAAGGTACACAAAAGAGGTACGAATTCACATAAAATATCTAACAAAGTACACTTTTAAGCCTTACCCATAGATTTTTTTTCTGCATCAGCTGTGCAAAGACCAACAAAAAAATCTGAAGTGGATATCAACAGACCTGTGGCGTTTATGTTGGAACAACGATTCACTTTGTTGAGCTGTATAAGACTTCAGAGAGTCCCGAGTAATATGGGTACCTGGTTGTTGATGCAGGCATCAGGCCCTTCAAGGAAAGCTGAAAAATCACTGCTCCTGGTAATAGAGAAGTATGAGCTGAGGTCACCCTTTTTAGAGGGACTGTCCTCTGCTTTTTTGTAACATGTTGCACCACAAAGTGGTGAACAGCTATGTAGGGAACTGTTATTTTATACACTAGTTGTGGTTTGTTTACGTTCATATACAGCCACTACCATAGAGGTCCACATTACAGACAAGTCCCTAGGTGTGCTTCCTGCCCCTACAAGGAGGTCAAGAAACCCCAGGATGTTATATAGTTTGTTTTTTCCAGGAAGTATCAGGCAGAGTGTGTCAGCCTGCCATGTGCTATGTATCTGGGGGGAGAACTGTATGGTGATTCTGTGAGTAATGATCCAGATTAACAAGGCTGCTATCTATCTAGTTGTTACTGAAGCAGATTAGGTCTGCCTCTGTTATATTTCAACTTCTGTATTGGAACCCTAATATCTCTGTAAGAGAGAGATTTGTGGTTCATTATCATTATTCTATTTACACACTGCAGAATCCCTATAGTTGTCTATATATATATATATATATATATATATATATATATATATATATATAATATATATATATATATATGAGAGAGAGATCAGTGTTTTCACCTGCCTAAGACTGTCAGGTGAACTTTCTGTTAATTGCAGTGCATCTTTGCAGCCTCTTTGCTTAAGCCATAGCACCCTTATTGGTCTGGATCTCCTTTTAGCTAGGATTAGCATAGAGAGCGTTGGATAGATTAGGCTAGAGGTAGGTTAGGCATCCAACGGCCACTTAGACAGATAGAGGCCCGGTTGCGGTGACAGCCCAGTTTAGGGATAGGGACTAAGAGTAAGGAGAGATAGAGCATTTTATGCTTTTAGGTGATGCATCGCTGATCGTCAGACAAGCAGTGCAATCATCCGCATAGAACGTGTTACTTGGACGCCATCACAGCATCTAAAGTGGAAGCGTGCATCTTATTGACTCTCACCTCTCCAGGGGCCCCTGCAACCAGACTGCGCTATAACCCATGGTTGGAGGTATTCTGTATACTACATGCACATATACCCAGGTATAATTGCAACCTCCCAATTTATGGTAAATTGTAATTCCTGAATGTTATTCTTATGCTTCCTGTTTTATGTGGCTGCTTTATATAAACTTTGCATTAATCTCATACAGGTGTGGTGTGACATGTTTTCATGTTAGAAATATAAGCTGGGTGCATTAATACTGCTATGTATATTTACTTTAAGTTGTCTACCTGTTACAACTTACATTCCTAGAAAGGGGTGAGTCTCCTCAATTGCAGGATCCCTATTCTAGGTGGAGGCACTGCCATTTGTATTATCACAACCCCCTCTTCCATATAGCGAAGGCTCAGGATTGCCTACTCATATACAGGTTAGCGCCATAGCTTGTTTGGTGTGGGCCATTTCACATAACCCCCCCAAAACAGGGCTACAGCTAAATTAGGCCATGCCTTGTGTTCCTTTAAATCTAAGCAACTGGTGATGGAAGGGTAGCAGGTGGCCAGATGTTATCAAGTCACTATAGGCAGGTAGTGGAACCAGGGCTGAAAAGGCAGGAGAAGGAATGCAGAGTGTGTTTGTCACACTTCACTTTGCGGATGACATAGGTATATCAGCACAGCAAAGAAAAATTGGTGCAAACATATAAAATGTGCACAACTGCAGAAAGTAATTTGCTGTGTATTAGTTCGCTCAGAATCAGTGAATTCTTAGAGATTGGGCATACCAGAGGCTGTGGTGCTCTGAAAGAAAGGGAAAATACCCTATGCCTGAAAGCACAGAGGGTATGCAAACAGTTATGGGTGGAAAAACAACATGGTTCAGACCAGACAGTTTACATTTCATTAAATGAGTGTGAATTGACTAGGTCAGAGTGTGAGTTGTGTTGTGTACCCTCAGCTACATTCTCACAACTTAACGATGCTAGTTAATAGATGTTCTCTTGTACAACAGCCACAGTTGAAATGCAAAGCTCTACTAGAAATTGTGATTGATAGTTTAGAAAACATAAAAGGTTGGTGCATTATACAGTGATTTTGCAAAGCAAATATTTACTGTATACAGAACTGAAGGAAGCCCACGCTAAGAACTAGTCCATATTTGTTAGGAAAACCAAGGGCCTAATGGGACAAATGCCCCCCTCAACTCATTGCCATCCCACAAATAGGTATCAACCAACAATCCTATCATCCAGTGGCAGGGCTAATAGAAATGCTGAAAGTGCAAATAACTGAAGGCCAACAAACTAAAGTAGTGTTACTTCTATCTTGCAGGAAGATGAGAGAGAGATCTTGCTTTTGTTTTTAGGGGCTTAGCACCGTCCCTGGTCACTACAGTAGAGGTATCAGACTCCATAAAAGAGCAAAATGCTGCATGTTGTACTGGAACAGCACAATGTAACGTGAATCCAATCAGTATTCGAACCGGTGCTGTGTACAAATGACCTCTAATGATGCTTATCACAGGTCTGGGTTGCTGCTGTGCAAGGTAAAAATCAGGTCAGAAAGTAAAGCCAAAACTGTTCTTCTAGTGAGAACCAAGAACTCATAGAGTGAAGCGATCCTGTCTGGGATCAGAAAAAAATAAATAAAGGGGGCAGGCTAGTTGGACCACTTTTTCCTCTTCTAGTCTTCCCTCTAAGTTTCATTAGATCAAAGGGATAAAAAGTGAAAGATACAATTAAAAACAAATAGCAATGGTTTATGATAGCTCATGTACTAACTAAATGCCGCTTAGTTAAGATTTACATTTACTTTTTGCTTGCATTAGGACAGTCATTCACTAGGTTGAGAAGTCAGGATCAAGATAGCTGAACATAGACATAGATCATGTCAAGAAGCCAGGTCTGATTTCAGAAATATATTTTCATAAATCTTGAAACAAATAGGCAGCACTTCACCCTGCAAACCTTTTAGAAATCGCATTAGAAAAAATTAAATACATTTCCTTACTTTTTAAGTTCCAAAATAAGTGTTGCTTTTCTGGCAGTGATCAGCTTGTTTTCCGCATTCAAATAATGAACCATGGTGGGAGAAAAAAAAAATTGGACTGTACACTTTAACCTCCCTAGCGGTCTGATTATGTCAGTATTTCTGTGATGAAAGCGGAACATTGTTTTCAATGGAAATATGTAGTT